TGGTAAAGACAAACCAGGAGGGTTACAATCATTTACTTCCACATTTGGAGCTAAACTCCTGAATAACGTTAGGGTTTTCGTAAGTTCTCTTAGTTCATTTCCAGTGAGACAGAAGGTAAAGCAGGTATCTCCATCTTGCTCTCAAAAACTCCTAAGTCAAGGTGTGCCAAAAGCTGGAGGAACTATAACTGTATCCTTGGAAGAGTTGGACTGCACTTGGATCTTTACAACGTCCTTTGTGCAAGTCCAGTAAAACCAGTGACCCATTCAGCTGAGCCAATAATACATGATTAGATGCTGTCATGCTAGTGACAAAGCCCTGGGAAAGTGCCATTAAGAGGTTATTATTCATTAAGGGGACAAAAGAGGGACTTGGCATTTAAAATAAAAAAAGAAAAAGTCAACTGGTAGTTGTAAGTAGAAAGTACAGAAAAGCAGAGAGCTTAGGATGAGGAAAGAGTGAGAGCTTTGCTTCCTTCCCCACAGCTCTGCAGGTGGAAGAGTTCTCCAGTGGCCATAACCCCACCAATTTCTCCCCATACAGAAGGAACAATAAAAAAGCAGCATAGCCTTGGTGCCATGTGCAGGGCCTGACCTCAAAGCTTGTATGTTGAAACGAATGCCCAGGCACAACCTGTGACACTTCTTCCCACTTGCAGCCAAACCAGAATTGATTTTTAGGAAAACATGAAGTTACTACTGGCCTCTTGTCTGGGAGGAGTCAAAGGGCATCGGTAAGCACAGAGCTAGCAGCACACAGATGGCAGGAGGGAAGCAAGGATAAGGATCCCTTGCCAATTCCCTTAGTCCTAGCCACAGGGAGGTGGGAGATATCAATGTGTTTTCTGCAAGGAGGGTTAAACCCAAGTCATTGGATGCTCTCCCAGGCTCTAGATTTGCCAGACAAGCAGCCCACACTTCATTGATCTGGCTGCAAACAGACAGTTAGAAAAGCTAAGGTAAAGCAGCTAAGATGTGACTCAACACAGGTTTCTTATTAGCAGGCACCACACACATATTAAAGTGCGTCGTAAATAATCTCGTGAAGGAGCTTATATGACAGCATCCACAGAAGGGTTAATGAGCTTTGGTCTCTGCAAGCAGACTACATCTTTTGTCCATTCACATTAACTCATCCAAGCATCCCCCATTCAAGACACTGGTTCCTATGACAGATGGTCATATTAGTGTCCACATGTGGCAACAAGGAGACAACAACGGGTGGCCCAGACAGCAATTGAAACTCTTCACCTTACTTGCCCCAAAAATGGGTTCAAGATCATGCCAAGGGTAACCAGGATGGAAGCAGACAAAGATGTCGGGTACGAGCATCCAAATCATCTCCTCTCATCTTCTGTGCTGTTCAGATCTCAACGGGGTCCAGTTTGGGATGCTGATCTGCAAGCCAGAGTGAATAACTGGAGATGGTCCAAAGCAGACAGACAGCAGTGAGTGGAAATCTATAGGAGATGGCTGGCAAGGAAAGGTGGAAAACATTTGTGATGCTTGGTCTAGAGGAGACGGAGACATGGTTACATTCTGCAGATCAACAAAAAGCAAGTAGGAAAGAAATCCTAGGCTTAATATACAACTAGAGACCTTTCAGTCAAATATCAGGAAAAACTTTGAGAATGTACAGAGTGCAAAAGCACCAGGCAGGTGTCAGATCACTGCTTTCTTCAAGATACCCATTCTTAAATTAAACCCTTTGGGCTGAGCTGCAGAGGACCCCATAACTCAGCCACAAGGCAGTCAAGAGAGTTACGAGCTCAGTCTGCACTGCGACTTGGGAACAGATAGTCCGACACCACCGCAAAAGAAATTAATTTCCAGCTTGTCATAAAAGAAACAAAAAACAAAAAGCCACACAGCAGCTGCTGCTTAGAAAGACCTTTACAAATCCCTCCAGTGTGAAAAGGACAGCAAGGGAGGGATGGGTATGTGCCATTTAAAGGTTGGACCCACTTCCATGGGGAACGCAGCAGCCCCAAACCAACCCAAGTGCTGCAGGAGTGCCAGGGCAAGGCAGGAGCACAGGGATGGGCGATCTCAGCTGCCAGAGCAGAGGGAGCTTTGGGATGTCCATAGTTCTGATGAAAATGGGAGCCTCCAAACTTTCCTGAGCTTTCCTCTGGAACCTTGGCAGGAGACCAGGATTTGCACCATCCTCTTTGAATTTTTCTCTTACCTGCCTGCTGGCCTCTTATGCATGAAAAATAGAGATGTTCTGTTGGCAGCTTCATCTCAGGTCTGTCATATACCATATACATTTGCTGGAGCTAATTTCTGCATCATACCTTCCTATTTGTCCGAGCCAAAATTCCTTATGCTCTGTAAACCAAACCTCCATGGATGTCAGCTCTTCATATATTTTTGGCTGAATCTGGAGCCTGGGGAGCTGAGAGATGCTTGGAGAAACCAACAAGCTGCCTGTTTGCCTCCCTGCCCACGTGAAAACAGTTCAATATATCCATGGTGAAGCCCAGCCACAGGATGGAAAGTCTCCTAGTGACGCAGATACGGCTTGCAGCAAGTTTCACTCCTCAGTTTCAAGCCCAGAAGCATCCCCCTTGAGCTTCTCCTCCCACATGGAATCACGTTTGTATGAAGCTTGGCTCAGACCATCACACTCACTGTCTTTTCAAGGGTGAGTGCAGTCAAAGACATCTCACCCGAGAATGTCTTTGAAGGTCACTTCTCAACCTCTTCCACCACTCCTTTCCCCATCTGCATTAGTGAGACTGTAAGCCATGCCTGCACTGCAGATAACTATTAGATTCTGCCTCTTGCTTTGTTTATAGAGAGTTTGGGGAGATTTGTGGGCCTGCTGATGAATTAGAGGAAGGAACACAAACATATTTTACCATTCTGGGCAAAGAGCGCTGGAATCCCGCGGACATCTAGAGGAATTATTTGCAGAAAATTAACATTGTTTGTCATTTGCATGATGAACTTCTGGATCTCAAGTGAGTGATGGGGAGAAACCGGTGGGAGATGTTCATTATCCCTGATGGAGTGAAGCCCCTTGACACGATGCTAAGGTCGCTGTGATCTATGGCCCCGCTATGACAACGCCGAGTGCTCTGGAATTGAACGCACACCATAACCGGGGGCGTAAGCGATCTGCCACATTAAATGCCGAGGCGTTAATAATTGTTGCTTGCCTCTGATTGCCAAGGTTTGGGATGCACTTGTTTCATATGGCACAAGCATTAACTCCTTCTTGACTGCCCCGTCTCATTGCAAAGGACGCAAAATCCAGCAAGAGACATATGCAGATATCAGGCAACAGCATGAATTAAAAGTTTTCCAGGCTTGCTTGTTTATCTCTTGATGCACCTTTTGGGAACACGTTCTCAGAAGCTCCCTGACACAGCTTCCCACCTCTGGCTCCACAGCAGCTCAAACCCCTGCAAGGGACACAGATTCCCAGCACGGCAGAGAAGCCCTCTAAGCATCCCCAGAACCAATAGCAGAGCAAATCTTGTTCCTGTGTCTGCCAATATTTGCCATTGGGAGCTAGCTTCAGATCCCTTCCCTGCAGCCCTAGCCTGCTCTGATGGCAGGGAGCAGCTCTGCTTGGGAGCTGAGTATACCAACAGCTGCAGGCAGGGTGGCTGGCTGGCACTGGGAAGAATCACACATCTCACTTAGGACGTGGCTTATGGCCTCTCAGCATCTCAGTTTCTCCCTTTAACAATCTGAAATATCCTTAAACCCACTTCTGAATCATCACTCCCAGGTCCCCTGGGTCAGGGTCTGCCAACGTGGGAGGTGAGGTCCCCTCTCCCTGCCAAGAAAAGGGGCATGGAGAGGGAGGTGTGAGCCCTCCCCGCAGAGCAGCACTGCAGCTGTGCCAGCCTTGTTAGAAAGGGAGACCAGAAAAGCAGAGGGCACTTGGGCCCGGATCGAATTCACTCACAAAAGCACTGCCTCAAGTGCTTTTGTAAGCTCCTCTAAATTCATTTTGCCAGTGCTTTCGCTCCCTACCTCTAAGCACGGAGAGCAGCACAGAGGTGCTGGGAAGACATTCACAAGCATTTCTGAGACAACAAAGGAAGAGGGTGGATGGATGCCATCCTCAGTATGCCTGCTGAAAGACAGAAATCACAAACCCAGGTGTTGGCTGCAAACAGCACCAAGGCCATAGACGAAAGAGAAATCCTCTGCTGTGGACCACAGCCTCCCGAGGAGCAAAGATCTGAGGAGAGAGAATTACTCTGAAAGTGTTCTCTGTGCAAAGGTGTAGCAAAAATATGCTGATACCTTTCCTCATACCAAACGAGACTGATTAAAGCAGGCAGAAATCTCAGCCCTTTCCTTCCTGAAACAGTGAGCAAGTGGTTGGGCAATGCCATTGGATTTGGGGAAGTGGAGGACGGGAGCTCCATGCAGATTTAGGGCAGGTGTGAGTGAGCCAGCCCGTACCCACAGCGTGCTGTAAGCCAGTGCAGCCCGGGGAATGGCTCCGGTCCAAGCTCTGTCCCTGCTTATGGGATCGCAGCTGAGACAGTGAAGAAAAATGAGCAACTGGAAGTCGGTAGGAATAAGCTAATGTCGCAGGGCTGTCAGTCATGTGCTAATACCCTTAGCTAAAGAAACATATTGATCCTGATTGCCTGGAATTGCACTTGAAAAGGGCTGGGTGACATTTCCAAGGAGACATGAGCTACTTTCAAGTCAATTAGCGGCATCGGAGGCTTCATGCCGAGGGGACGCACTCACCTCCGAGGAATGCCAGAAGAGAATGAGAATTGAATTAAGCCTTTTCATACGCCGGGAAACAAATCCTTTAATGGCCTGTAACAGCTGACGGGACAGCCAGGGTCGCCAAAAGCATGCTGGCAGTAGCTAGGTGAAGGAGTTTCCTGTGCTGAAGCTGGGAACTGCAGAGGAGCTGAATGCCAAGAACTGAATGCATGGGATAATCCTCCAGATAAGGGTGCAGGGGGAAGCAAAGTTTAAAGCCCAGGTCAGTAACACACATAGCACTATCTGACCTCACCTGAGGCTCAGCAGGAGCACCAGATCCAGCAACAGCTCCCTGTAGACTGAGCAGCTTGTGATCCTCGTGGAATCCTCTGTGGAAGCCCAAGGACCAAGGCACGCACAGGAATTTAAAGCAAGCCTTCTGTCTGCTGCTTTCCCCAGAAATTCCTTCTTTGTATAGATCCCCAAGGCTCCTATGGAGCCTAGGACCCCAAGGAGGTTTGAAACCAGCAGAGCATATCCAAAGACAGAGAAATCAGGGTAGGTTTGCAATCCCTCTACTTTTTATCCACTTGCAGGTGCTCTGACCCATATTCAGTTTCCATGGTTCCTTTTATGTTCCTATAAACACGAGGCTCGTACCTGAATTCAAGGCTTTCTGGACAGCTTTACAAAGGTGATTTCCTGCTCTCTCTCAGCACCCGCGGTGATTCTGTCTCACAAGCTAAGGAGCAGAGCTCTTCAATCCCCCTGCAGAAGGGCAAAGAGTTCCAGGGAAAAGCATTTCAATCCAAGGTGAAAACAATCCCAACAGCTACAGAACAACCGAGAAGCCTCAGTCCTAAAAAAGTCCCAGCAGTGTGCTCCCCTGGCTTTTCCCCTCCCCTCTTCTCCCCACTGCTATGGCTCTGAGCCGAGGAACAGAGACAGCCAGCTCCAGTCCCAAAGGAAATCAAACACAAGTTGTTCCTTTTGACTCTAACGAAGAAGAGAGGCTGCTTTCATAAACCTGCAGACTCTGAGGATAAGTGAATGCCCTAATAGCCTCTGCAGACAGGAGGAGGCTTGGGAATCTGCTTCTCCCCTGGGTGAGCCATAGAGTCCTTCTGTGTATTTGGCCAGCATTTCATGCTGAAGATCCTGCACTGCTGGTGGATATTCTAGAGCCAAAAGTGCTGCAAGCAGATGCACACAGGTGACTTTCCCACAGCTATATAGTAAATCCAAAGCACAGCAGACAAACCCCAGGTCTTCCACACTCTCCCTTTTCTCCCAAACCACAGCACTTTTCTTTCTGCCTGCCGTTGAAAGCCAACTTCAGGATAAGTGTAGCAGCATGGACACACTCAGCATCCAGTCCTCTAGAAAGGAGCCTAAGAGAGAGAATTCACTCTTTGTGCAATAGGAAAAAAGTGGAGGGGAGCAGCAGGGTGCTCCCAGCAAGATGGGAAGGAAAGCAAAGGGGTTTTATTTTTTTGCCTTTGCTGTGAAGGCATGTCTGCATTTCCCTTATTAACAGCAAGGCTCAGCCCTAGCTTGAGAACAGCAGGAGAGGCTAAAATATGGGATCTGTTCAAAGCACCATTTCTCTATAAATACCAAGCATGAGCTGTTGCCCATGGGGGCAACCTATTAAGTTTCTGGGGCGCTCTCATCCATGCAGGAAGTCAACCAAATTGGTTGACTTAATGATCCTTCCAGGGTTTCAAGTCAAGCAACACCACCCTGCTAGCCACCAGCAGCACCCACAGTATCTGAAGGATGCCTGTAGGGCCAGTGGTGGGCCGATGGTGGGCTCCATGCTTGGTCAGTGCGGAGGGAGTGAGTCAGAGTCAGAGGGAGTGAGGAAGGGAATGAGCAAGAGGAGAACCTGCACTCACCTTGCTTGTCATTGTGAATGTCATCTACCCTTGGCACAGATGGCACCAAACCCAACCTTGGGTCTAGCCGGAGCTGGGTTCGGATTATCTTCCTCAGAGCCAGCTTCAATCCTTTTCAAATCCCAGTTCACCCCAGCAATCCCCATTGCAGCAGTAGAGAACATAGTACCAACAAGGCCAGGAATTCACATCCCCACAGAGGAAAATTGCTTAAACACTCAACCCAGGAGGAGATCTTCCCTCTCCCATCTCATATGCAGCCCCAAGGGCTCAGCTGTCTTCTTACATGCATATTTTGACAGAGGTAAGGAAATTAAGTTTTATTGCAATCAGGGCTACGATTCTCTTTGTCACATGATCCCACAACACGGGATTTCAACATGACATGTATCACCAGGAGGGCTGCCAGGAACTTCCAAGAGAGCGTTCTCAGTTCAGGCCAGAGGCACAGCAATGCTGCAAGATGACAAGTGATGGAACATCATGCATTGCTCTCACGTGTGTCCCAGGGTCAGGTGTGGAGCAGGCAGTAATCCAGGGCAGCAGTGAAACAATGCTGAGCATGTTTTCCTTGCCCTGTGCTATTCATACTCGAAAGCTGTTACAGCTGCAGCCAACTACAACCAGAGAGAGTTTAATTCTGCCTAAACCTCTAATCTAAAACCCGCAAATAAAAAGCAGGCTTGGGAAAGGGAACCGGGTCCAACTTTCACCATCCAAGAACTGACTGAGCAATGCTGTGTGTGTGAACAGGAGAGGGATAACAGTACCAGACTGGATACAGTCAATTGTTCTGTAAGTGCTTTCTGAGACCATTAGTTAATTAAGCTGCCAGTGGATGAGTCTGTGCAACTGGTTCTGATCATCTACAGCTTGAAGAGATTAAAGAAGAGAATGGGGTTTTGATGCCTGCCTATCTTAAAAAAAAAAAAAAAAGAAAAAGAAAAAGAAAATCTATTCTTTCCCTGCATACTCTCTACTTGTACAGAGCAGCAAGTGTTAAAAACAAATGCAGGCTCTTCAGCAAAAGCGCAGACACTGTCAAGCTCATGAACATGAGGGAGAAGGTGGGTGCAAAGCCACGGCTTGAAAGCTGCCCAGCTATATTATTCCCTGAAACAGACACCTCAGAGTGCAAAAGTTTGTCAGGAAACACAAGGCACCCAAGATACCTGGGAAGAGCCCCTTACAGGCTCATCTTCCTCTTGGGAGCACCATTTGGAGCAAGGAGCCTGCTTTGGTGGGGGGTTGGACTAGATGATCTAGAGATCCCCTCCAACCCTTACAGTTCTATGATTTTATGACTCCCCCAGCATCACTCATATGCAAGAAACCATGGACCTACCCCATCCATGCTGCACTCACTGGCCTCAGCAGAGCTAAACCCAGGCAGGATCCTTCTGGCTTGTGCCCATCAGAAAGCATTCATCTCCACAAAGCAAACTGGAAAGAAAAAAGGGATTTGGAAGTGCAGGCATGAACAGGAGCAATAAGGTGCTGTATTCAAAAGGCCTTCAGTAATAGGGCATTCTCATGAACACCACGGAGCATCATAATGCTATAACCACGGCACACAGGAAAGCCAAGGACTGCAATTACCCTTACGAATACCCTTAGAGACAGCAGTAATAAGTGCCGTCCCCTAACACAGCCCTTCCAAAAGTGGCGGTTTCCCAGTGTACCTTTAGCTCACAGGTGACCCACAGAGTCCTTGTAACCACATTCCCGTCCTCACATTTAAAGCCTCACTCAGGAGCTGGAGCCAGGAGTTAAGTGGTTGATACACTTGTGCGGAGATGACTAGCATCATTTTCTCCCAGCTCCCCGCATGAATTACAGCCCCCTCTGGGCAGTGCAGGATTGCTTTTGAAGAGCAGAGAGCACTTTCTGAGCAGATAAAAGGAGAGCTGTTGAATCCAGCACATTCTAGGGAAGAGCGAGATCTTGCTTCCCAATGGCTGCTTACAACACAGGCTGGCTGGGATAATATTACCAATCCTCGTGCTCCAGCAAAGCTCCCATCACCCCACACCCATATTTGCCATTGCTCAGAGCAGAACCTGACTCCCCCAGCACCCCTGCAACCATCCTGCTAATCCAAGGCTCCCCTGGAGAGAAGGCAGAGTCAGCCCTGCTTCCCCGGCTGCTACAAGGAAAGGAGAGGAAGGCACTGGCACATCCCAGCCTCCTCTGAAGCACAGAAGCATGATGGGCTCCTGGTGGATGACAGCAGCATGGTAGGGATGCAGAGCAGTGGTCCAGTGGCATCAGGACCCCAGTACATGTCCTCACAGCCCAGAAATCCAACTGTGTCCTGCACTGCATCAAAAGAAATGTGGCCAGCAGGGTGAGGGAGGTGATTCTGCCCCTCTGCTCTGTGCTGATGGGACCTACCTGGAGTACTGTGTGCAGAATTAGAGTCCACACTACAGGAGAGATGTGGAACTGCTGGAATGCAAGCAGAGGAGGGCCACAAAAATGACCTTAGAGATGGAACACCTCCCTACGAGGACAAGCTAAGATCTAGGACTGTTCAGCATGGAAAGAAGGCTCTGTTAACCTGAGAGCAGCCTTCCAGTATGTAAAGAGGTGCTGTAAGAAAGAAGGGGACAGACTCTTTATCGGGATCTGCTGTGACAGAACAAAGGGTTTCAAACCAAGAGAAGAGAGATTTAGTCTTTAGGAAGAAGTTTTTTATGATAAGGGCAGTGAGGCAGTGCCACAGGCTGCCCAGAGAGGTGGTGCCCCATCACTGCAGACATCAACGTCTGGCTGGATGGGCTGTGAACACCGATGCAGCTGTGGGTGTCCCTGCTCAGTGCAGGGAGTGGGAGCAGATGGCTGGTAAGGGTCCCATCCAACTCACATTCTGTGACAGCTGCACCCATAGGCCAGGCATACAACCAGGCATGCATGTTTCATTAGTTTGTTTAAACACTCTTCCATTTAACTTTTTAGCAATGAGTTCCGCAGTTTGCCAGCACGCCGCTGCAAGTGATTTCTCCTTCTAAGGCTTTCATAAAGTAATTTCGCTGCAGATGCAGTGCGAGACCAAAAAATTAGGAGGCAGTCCCGAGGAAAAGAAATAAAAGCAGCACAGCTTTAGGAAAAAGAGCTGGAAAGGAGAGGTTAAATTAACTAGACTCGTTCAGACTGAAAAAAATGAAGAAGAGAAATAAAAAGAGAGAAGACTCTGGCACAGAGGCATAACAATCTTCCAATAGCGAGCAGGTTATTAAGACAGCAGTCGATTGTTCTCTGTGTTCACAGTGGCAGAAGAAGAAGAAATAATTTAACTCGGAGCAAAGAAAGCTTAAGTTTGGACGCACAAAAAAAAAAAAAAAAAAAATCCAACAATGTTCTCACTGCAACAGATATCAGAGAAGTTGCCGATTTTTTTCACTGGAGACATCCACAGAAAGGTTAAGCAAACAGTTGAGAGAAGGGGAAAGGTGTAATTGATCTTGCTTCAACACAACGTAGGAGGAGGTTATCTGCAGATGCTCATTCCAGCCCTCTGCTCTGCAAGATGAACAACAAACTTCCTAAATGCTTCCTTCATACATTTTTAATTGCATTTTAATTTTTATCCTCGTGCAGCCTGAGACAAATATTTTTTAAAAAAATCCAGGTCTAATAAATCAGAAATTATACGTTTCCCATCTCACTCATGTAATAAAAAGATGTGAAAGTTCCAAAGGAGAGCAGATATATGTTAAGCTATACAGTCGTGCCAATAAATATGCATGGGTGTCGCGTCCCATTCTGCTTTGCCAGAAATAGTACCAAATTATGCCAGCCAATGCAAAGCTGCGTTTCATTAGGAAATGAACTTTAAAATACAAGATTAAAACACGTTTTTTTTAAATCAAGGTTTCCTGCTTGTTGATTTAAACCATGATTAAAATGGGTGATTCAAATCAGCCATCCTGAACAAAACATGAGTCTTTCTCAAGTCTTTAGG